CAGCTAGTCATCATCACCCACCGCCAACTCTTGGGCTACTCTTTTTCCAACGAATAGTAGGATTGACCGTAACATTATAACGCCCCCACGGCTGAAAGGGCGAGCATGTTTGGTGTGACGGGGATTCGAACCCGCAGATTGCGAGTCGAGTGCCCTAACCACCTGGCCATGCCGGGCCCATTAAACTAGTGTACAATCGCACGTTTGAAAACAGTTTTGAGTTATCTGATTCTTTGTCGTGTAGGAATTTAATGATATTATGTATAAAGCCATATAATGTTTCGCGTTACACCAACGACCGTTGAAAGAAACCGCTGGTTTGGTAAATAGGTTATCTAGGCACTTTTTAAAAACTTCATTCGACGTTTATTTGATTTATGACAAGATCAGTGAAGTTGTATCGTTTGCGCCTACTGTGGCTATTACGAAAACAACGACAGTTGAAAAAAATATCCTGTTGACTATATAACTTTACTGCAGAAGGTATGTGGATGATATATTGAAGTTGTTCAATCAGAAAGTCATATTAGCCAATTTCCGCAGTCTTTAAACAGCAAAAACCCAAATATAAAACTCACAAATAAATACGAGTATATTTTAGTAGGTAAACAACGTTTTTTATAGAAATTACTATATACTCGAGATTTATTCAGGGCTCATTTTGAAATATTCATTCCTACAGCATTTAAAATTAATTTGGTAAAATTCGTAGTGAATTGTGTTTTTGAAAAATAATCTTTGTTACATAAAGAAACAATTTATATTAAATATTTTTTTAATGTTTTATCTATAAGTTATTTGTTTGTAGTTAAGCCCAAAGCTATACAATAGCTTATCTGTGCTGTGCCCATCATAGGTATCGAAACCAGGTTTTTAACATTATAAGTCTGCAGACTTTCCGCTGTACCACTGGTAGAAGGGGGAAGGGTATCAATAATATTATCAGTGAAATGTTCAGTAATCAAATTATCCCCAGTGTTTCCATAAATACAAATTACTAGTGTGTTGTGTTTAAATCGATTGTTAAAAAAAAAGGACGCCATTCCTAATAATAAGTGTATAAGTAAATGTGTTGGGTATCTGAAATAACTATGAACGTAGTATAAA